GTTGAGCTTGTACAACAGTCATTTGCCAGATCATCATGAACTAGTGTCCGCTTTTTAATTGGTCAGTTATTGTAGGACTCACGCCTTACTTGAGGAAAGTAGCGGCGGAGTTTGGGAGGGATTGTATCGTGTGAGAGGTGTAAGTGTTGCAAATAACGTAAAACTCTTTCTAAAACTAAGACAAAATATATCGTGTGAGAAGGGTAGGCTCTATGACCTATATATATGTGTTGCAAATGCCGTAAAACTCTCTGTAAAAAACGAAGACTAAATGTATCGTGTGAGAGGGGTAGGTTACATGACCTATATGTGTTGCAAATGGCCTAAAACTCTCTAGGTGGGTGCTTTTCAGGTGCTCTGGTGTGGTTTGCTCCTTCTTTCCTATCGAACATCTTTCGTCCTGATCTCTCCTCCTTCTTTTTTATGTTTGTTGCTCTCTTGTAACACCTCTAATCTTCGGCACTCATATGACCTTATTGTGTTGCAAGTGCCGTAAAACTCTTACTAAAACTTTTAAAAAACCTCTCTCTAAAACTAAGACAAATGTATCGTGTGACAGGCGGAGGATTTGCGTCGCTTGTGGGTCAGACGTTGGCAGTACCGCTGGACATTGTCACACAGCATCTTATGTTGATGGGTCGCCGCGGGGAGAAGAAGCCAGGTGAGTGTGTGGGTGTGTGTATGTGGGTGTGTGTGTGTTGAAGCTGGACATTGTCACACAGCATCTCATGTTGATGGGTCGCCGCGGGGAGAAGAAGCCGTGTGAGTGAGTGTGTGTGTGTGTGTATGTGTGTGTGTGTGTTTATGTGGGTGTGTGTGTGTGTGTGTGTGAGAGTGTGTGTGTGTATGAGAGTGTGTGTGTATGTGTGTGTGTGTATGTGTGTGTGTATGTGTGTGTGTGTTTGAGAATGAGTGTGTGTGCATGTCTGTGTGTTTGTTTGTGTGAATTTGTGTGCTTGAGTTTGAGAATGCGTGTTAGTTAATGTATGTGTGTGTATTTGTGTCTGTGTATGTATTCAGTCTGTGTGTGTGTGTCTATGTATGTGTGTGAGTGTGTATGTGTTTCAGAATGTGTGTGTGTGGGTATGTGTGTGTTTTTGTATGTATGTATTATGTGTGAGTGTGTATATGTTTGAGAATGTGTGTATATGTATGTATGTATGTATGTATGTATGTATCTGTGTATGTCATCATCATCGAGTGCCAGATCTGCGACAGACATCGGCGATCATGGTTTTCCATTCATTCCTTTGCTTGGATGCTCTCAGAAAAGCTACGTTTCCCTGATCTTTCCCTGTTACCCATTTGTCTAGGTTCCCTAAGTATGTTGTTCTGGGCCTATCCCTGCCTCGCTTGCCCTCAATTTTGCCAGTGAGAGCAAGACGAAAGCCTTATGTCTATTCAGGTGTCCCAAAAACTGCATTTGTCGTTTCCTGATTGTTTTTAACATTGAGTGTCCCACGTGGGCTTCATCA